CGAATATTTTAGAACTCTGTTGCTGACGCTACAAGATGAATAAGACGGCAAACCGTACAGGGATTAATCACTGTATCAAGCAAGAAAAAATATTTCCAAAGCTGCCCGACGTGCCCCTTATAATGAATTCTTTGTTGAGCAAGCTTGTTCGATCAAGATGCCCGAATATTGGCCTCGTTATTTTTGCGTGGAAATGGACCTCGACTCCGCCTAGGTCCTTAAAACCGCCCAAACAGTACTTGGCCAAACTTCAGGCCTCTCGACCTCACGCTTGATCAGCAACCCATACATATATATTACATTTCTTAATTTTAATTCGAAATCAGCGCTTTGCGAGTTTCAGAGATTGGCCTTGAAATAATTCGTGTCAATTCTTCAGTTCAGTTTCTGCGACACCAATAAATTTCTGCGAGCAAAATGTCACTACTAAATTTTCTCCGATTCTTATTGGTTAAAATTGATCACGTGACGCGATTATGTTCATCGGCGGAGAAACACCATCTGCCCTTAGTTCCGTCCGAGGAAAATACCTGGATGGAGAGTACCCGTCCGCGAAAACTTTTCTCTAAACAAGCAGGCTTGTAGAAGCAAAANAAAAAATTGAAAGATTGATTGATCTGTATTTAGTGGGTTTTGTCTGTTTTCGTTTTCGAATTCCACATTTGGCTTTCACGCTTTTCATCTAGAGAAGTTGAAAATAATTCAATATGACTTTTGAACTGGCACGCGGAAGAAATTTAGTGGTGAACAAAGAAGACAGTAGAGTGTTTATGTCTCGGAACTATTGGTCTGATAGTTGCTTCTTCAGTAGAAATTTGATGTTCTTTAAACTACAGCCAAACCCCTATTAAGCGGCCACCCTCAGGGAAATTGGATCGCCTTCTCCAAAAAGAGGCAACTAGATGTATTACGTTTTGAACGGCCGTTTAATAGCGGTAAAGACAATAGGAAAACCCGCATGGGGACGACCAAAAGGTAGCCGCGGCTGCTTAATAGAAGTGGCGGTTAATAGAGGTTTTATTTACAGTATTTTACTGACAATGATTTCGGGACTTTGATAACTGGCCGCTTAATAACGGGTGGCCGCCTAATAGAGGTTCGTTTTAATAGGGGTTAATAGAGGTTAATAGAGGTTCGTAGTATGTTCTTCCTCGAAGCTTCCCTTCTCGGGCAAATATTTGTTTTGAGACCATCAAATTTCCGCGGGGCAACTATCAGCCGACAGTTCCTCGACAGAAACATTCTATTATCTGAACACAATGAGAGAAACAGATTTCCAAGTTCTAACGAACTCGTTGTAGGCATGTCTATTTGTTTTATTCCAAATTATGTAGCTAGGAATAGTGATTTCAGTTAAGCCGTAAAACATTTGGTGCTAGTCAAAACTAAGAAAATGTCAACAATGGAATTAGCGTCTAATATAGCTATTCCTCGAGTAAAATCTCTCTAATGAAAGTAATTCGTTAATTTCCAGTAGTGGAACTATCTGCATTTTAAAGTTTCTCCTCGTTCAGAGAGGTATATACAACCCTAGTCAAATGCCTTGGGACACGTTACACTTTTGCCAACATATGATCTTTCTGCCCACCTCCCCCTCCCCACCCCCAACACAATGTTGATGTCGATTCATCCAAAGTAGACCCACTATTCCAAC